GTGATTCAATTCACCGGATGGACTGTTCTTGTACGGATGATTTTTCTAGTCTTCGACGAGTTTAGATATGGATGTGTTCGTTATCAGGATTATCTCATGTCTTATCGAGAGTTCGGGACGAATTTTCTTCCTTGTGTATTACTTGTTTGTTGGTCGGAAAGGAAGAGTTTCTTGATTCCAGAAAAACGCACGTTCTTCGAGGTGTATTCTGGTGTTGTATGTATGTAGGTGTGTGTAAATTACTGTGTAGGTCTGTGTGATTTTTTCCTCTGTTGGATTTCTTCGTGTTGCCTCTAGTTTAGAGCTCCTCCTTCATCTCCTCTCTTCAATCTTTGTTTCTTCTTCTTCTTTCACTCTCACTCTTTCTCAATCGTCGTTTCTCTCACTTTCTCTCTCACGCACGCTATCTTTCTCTCTCTCTCTCTCTCTTTCTCTCTCTCTTTCTACCTCTTTCTCTATAACTCTATTTCTGTCGTTTGTACTCAACAGGTTTAGGCTACGAACTGAAGTAGATCGGTTTCTCTGGGAGTAATTATATGCGAGTCCCCTTTTTTTCCGGATATATAGGGCGGCCTGCGTTCTCTCTCGCTTTGGATGGGACTCCTTTTCTCTCTCCTTAATTAGATACTCTCTTCTCGCGCGCGCTTCTCGTGCAGTAGGTGCGTCCGTTTTTCTTTTTGTCCTCTTCCTTCTTTTTTTTTTCACGTTAGTTTAAAAAAAAAAAAAAGTGAACGTTATAACCTTACTTGTTTGCTTTTTTTTTCTTCTTCTTCTTGCTTTTAACTAGGTAAAACTTGCTTACTTTTTAATCTAAGCTTAGAAAAACTTCGTCGATTTTTCTTCCTTATGCTTCCTGTTTTATTTGTTTCTCTCTCTCTCTCTCTCTCTCTCTCTTTCTCTCTCGTTTTTCCTTTCGATTAAATCTGCTCGCGAAGAGATCGTCGCGCGTCTCGCTGGTTAGTGAGTAATATCGTTAGCTCGCTGAGTGATTAGTAGAAAAAAAGAAATGGTAGATTCTTTGGTTTACGGTTTTTCCCTCTTTCTTCTTTTTTCCCCCTTTTTTTATTATTCCGTTTTCGCGTAATATTTCCTCTTTTTTATTTATTTCGTCTGTCTCTTTACCCCCTTTTTTTTTGTTTGTTTCTGCCCTTAAAAACGTACAACAATTTTATCCTTTTGTTTCCCCTCTTTTTCTTTTTTTTTTTTTTGCTTGTTTGTTTATTTCGTCTTTCGATTTGGCACTGGCGGACTTTTCTTTTCTTATCCTCTTTTTTTTTTGTTTCAGATATACTTTGTACACTAATTAGATACTATAGCTCTTAATGCTTTGTCTTCTTCTTCTTCTGCTGCTTCTTCTTCCTCTTCTTCTTCTGAACCTAAGCTCTTGGAATATTTTTTGTTCGCTTCTTTTCCTTTGTTTTTTTTTTTTTTTCGTCGATATAAACACACTAATTACTTCTTTCGCGCTTCGTAAGAAAATAGAAATCACTTGAGGTTAATGTGGCTTGTTAGAAGGCGGTTGATTTGTACGATCTGAAACAACGAGAGAAAAAAATACAAAATTAATAACGGAACAACAAGTGCAGAATAAATTCTTAAAATGTATTATTCCACTGTTTCACGTTTCCCCTAAATTCCTTTAACTAGTATAAACAGAATTAAAAGGCTAAAAAGAATCGGTGAGAGAGAAAAAGAAGAAAGGGCGGAGGAACGAAAGCGGTGGAGAGAAAAAGAGAGTCGGTGGATCGTGGAGATCGTTAAGAGAGCAGGCTCGGTAGGCTCGCCGGTTCGGGAAAAAGCGAAGCGTTTCGAGATAAAAAAAAGCCCGATGACGAGGCTCATTGAGCCCTCCCCTTTCTCCGTGGTCACGTGAGGCGATCGTAAGCGAGAACGTGACACGCGACTACGTGGGAACGTGTCATAGACGTTACCATAACGTGACCATCGCTAAGCCAAGGTTACTATTACGTTCGGCGTGTCTGCACACCTACTCGCTCGCTTTGATACCCGCGAATGTTGTGCCCTAGTCCCTGGACGGTTCATTCACGTTGCTTAGACCGCCGACGATGGCTACGAGCTCGTCGCGTTACTACTGTTCTCCATTATTCAATTAAACCAACTGTTGTTTTTTTTTCTTATCTCGCAGCTGATGGACGCAGTTGTTCCAGCGTCATTATTTGAAACTGAAGTTATTTCACGTTCTTGAAGAATTGGCGTGCAAACGTGGATTGTTTATTGTTTTACTTTATTTAGATTATGTTATAAACTGTTTAGTACTATTTTGCTGTTTTGTTGGATCGATTAATTTCATTCTATTTTTTGAATAAGAGAAAGGTAAATGACGAATGAATCTGTAAAATATAATGCAATTTGTTGCGGAGTATAAAGAATGAAATATAGCAATTCTATTCGTAGTTTAATACCGTGAACTTAGAATTTCTTTAACTATTTTAAAGTTGTAAAAAAATCGTATTACTTCGTTCAACATTTAATCAAGTCTCCTTCGATCAATCACTGACCTTCCACTACTCCAAACTATAATCACCCTAAATCTCTCGCTCGCGATATCGTATCACAGTTACGAAGCGAATTATCCAGTCGTGTAATATGAAATGTCGGATTTTTAATCGTTCAGAAATTCATCGCGGAGAAATTCTCAGTTACCTCGTGTTAAACTGAAGTTTATAAAATTCTTGGTAGGTTACCAAGTGCTCGATTTAAAAAACTGACCTACGCGAGTTACATTTGCAACAAGGTTTTACCTCGGTTGCGAAATTCAACCTTATTTAACTACACCGTTTAAAACATCAAAAGGTGGCCGTAAAATCTGATTTTAACCCATTCGTGTCTACGTCAATTAATCGTCCAATAAGTGCAATTATTTTCAACTATCCTGTCAACTTCTATCTAATCGTTTTACGTTGTACTTTCCATTATGGCGAAAACAGCATTATGAACAACGCGAAACTTACTTCTACACACCCAGGAAACAAAAAAAAAAATAATCAACCCTTTACAACGCTATCTTTTATAAAACTAATTTTAATCACGATTAATTCTCCCTCCCGCAAAAATATAAAGTTACAATCACCGACGATTCCGACAATTCTCCCGACGACGACAAAAAACTCAGGTTACAGATGGTTGAAAGGGCTAAATAAAAATGGTCGAACGAATTGTTCGCAAGCGGTTCCAAGCCATCGTCGAAAACCCAAGCGACGATGTTGGTCCTCCCGTGAGATATCGACCGCCATTGAACCCCCCTACCCTACCCCCCCTCTCGCTCTTTCTCGCTGTCTCTTATTCGCGGAGCACATAGCGCACGTACAACACACGTAGCAATGCGACGCGTGTGTACACGCGTACGGCACACGAGCGCAGCTTATGCACGGCTCGTGGATGCACATAATGGCCGGTACATAGAGAAAGAGAGAGAAGTACTAGCTCCGTCGCTATCTCACGGTCGCTTTTCCAGCGCCCCGCCGCTACCGCCAGCAAAACTCTCTCTAATAGCTTTACAGCTGTGGCCGACGGAGAGCTTTCGCTATCGTTGGAAACTTGCACTGTCGTTCGACGCGCACTTTCGCTTGCCGCGCGCCGCGAATTAAACCGCGAGACGCGCCATGCTGTTCGAACAAGCGCGCCAACGTGATCGCGGGATTTCTCGTCGTGCTGTAGGATTGATCGCTTTTTCTTTTTTTTTTTGTGGGACCTTGTGAATTTAGGATTTTCAGTTTTTTCTTGTAATTTGACGCGGTTTGAGTGTGCTCTTTAGTTTTGAAAATTATGGAAATTGAGAATTGACAATTAAACCGCGCGAAAGCGATCGTGGTGGAAGACTGATCGCTTTTTTATGGAACCTTGTGAATTTGGGATTTACTCTTTTTTTTTTCTTGTAATTTGACGCGGTTTGAGTGTGCCCTTTAGTTTCGAAAATTGAGGGAATTGAGAATTGCGCAAAGGTGATCGAAAGTTTTCCGATCGTGGTGGAGGATTTATCGTTTCTTTGTGGAATCTTGTGAATTGGGAATTTGTTTCTTTCTTTGTAAATTTGACGCGTTTTGAATGTGCTCTTTAGTTTTGAAAATTGAGAAAGTTGGGAATTGAAAATTAAACCGCGCGAACGTGATCCTAAGCTTTTTGATAATGGTGGAAGATCATTTATTTTATTGCAGAATCCTGTGGCAACTTCCTATCATTTTTGAGTGATTTTTCGAAACTTCTGAAATTGATCGGAGAATAGTATTGATATTTAACATACCCTCTAATGAAAAATATGGAAAGAACCGTTTTATAAATTTATAAAGATTACAACTGAACGCAAATTTCGCTTGGAAGAGTTTCGAGCCGAAAAATCTGAAGGCCATCTACCATGTGCTTTCTTACGCGAACACGTGACAACGGACAAAGACAAATTCGGCCAGTTGGATCGAATTAACGAAGAATCGAATGGTTCCACGAATTTTCTTAAAAGAGCCGCTGTGCCTCGGGAATAACGGCATTTGAACGAACAGCGCGAAGAGCAGCCAGGAATTCTTCGACGAAACACGAGGTTACTCCAATCCACTCGGTGTTCGAATAACAATCTTCCAATCGATATTCAACGAACGAATCTTTCTCAAAGTAACCATCAAAAGTTCCACCGAAATAAAGTCAAAATATACCAAAATTTTCTTAACCCTTTCTCGAGTCAAAAAAGACCCGAAGAATATGAAGAACTTACATGTAACAATTTTCAAAACCTAAACAACAAACTTTTAACACAACATCGAGGAAAAATTAATTCGATAAGAAAAATGATCAAGAAATACGAAGTCGATGGGTCAAAAAGGACCCGAACACAGCGCTAAGTTTAAAGAACGCAGAATAATTTCCATTTGTCGTTAGAAATCGATGTCGACGAGGCCTCTAACGATGTCGAA